GGGAGGAATGCTGACCAATCTCAAATTTTGCCAACCATAAGACAACCAATGCTCCTCTTCCTCTACAACTTCTGGACAATTATAGCACTAATTTCCAGCCATTCAAAAACCAAGTCTGTAACACACGGGATAAAATGTATGAAGCCAAAAAGAACAACCATATCAGATTTAAAGGGTAATCACAAATCCTCATCCTAAAGGCTAAGTTTGTTAGCTAGAAACTTGAGGGCACCAATACCTCCCAGAATTGTTGGGATACTTTAAAAGCAGAGTTTCTCGGCTGGGTGTGGTGGCTCACGCCTGTAATCCCAGTACTTTGGGAGGCCGAGGCAGGCGGATCACCTGAGGTCTGGAGTTCGAGACCAGCTTGACCAACATGGAGAAACCCTGTCTCTACTAAAAATACAAATTAGCCGGGTGTGGTGGCACATGCGTGTAATCCCAGCTACTTGGGAGGCTGAGGTGGGAGAATCACTTGAACCCAGGAGGCAGAGATTGCAGTGAGCAAAGATCGCACACTGCACTCCAGCCTGGGCAACAAGAGTGAAACTGTTTCAAAAAAAAAAAAACAAACAGAAAGAAAAAACAAAAAACAAAAACAGAAAAAGGTACCATTTTTCAACAGAGACACTACTGACTTTGGGGGCCAGATAAGTCTTAGTTGTGGGGGGCTGTCTTGGCCATTGCAGGATGTTTAGCAGCATTCCTGGCCTCTACACACTACCAGCAGCACCCACTTTCCACTTCCAACAACCAAAAATGTCCCCATACATTGCCAAATGTCCCCAGGGGAATCGGGGTTGGGGGTGCAAAATCACCTGCAACTGAGAGCACCACTGCCTTAAAGAGATGGCAATAATGAAAAGATAAAAGCATCAAAGCACTTTAGAATAGGAAGGATTTTAAGGAGCCTGAGAAACAGTGATTCTCAAACTTTGCTAGGTATCAGCCTCCCTGGGGAGTTTGTTAAAATGCGGCACCTGGACCTCACCCCAGACCTACCAATAGAGATGAGTGTTGGGTTTTGCCCCAGCACCCACATCCTCATTCTACAGCTAAGTTAACGTGAGCCAGAGAGGGAAAATGCCTTGACCAAGGTCACAGGGCGAGTTAGAACTTGGCTTCCAAAACCAACCAAGCCCTTCCTTACAACAAGGAGGGTGTGCTATTCTTACGTCTTTGAGGCAGCAGAACCTAAAAATGGTTAAGACTGGGCATTCCGGAGCCAGCCGGCCCGAGTTAAAATCCCGACTTGGTATTTATCAGCGGGGTGGTCTCGCACAAGGCACGTAGCCTCTGAGAGCCTCAGTTTCCTTCTCTGTCCAGTGGGAAAGTAACAGTACCTCCCCTCCAGCGTTACTGGAAAGGCGAAAGAGCGAAGATGTACAAAAAGCCCGTGATACGGTAAGTACTCGATACGTGTCCTATTATTAGGACTGTCCCACACCTGCAAAGTGGAAAAGGCATGGGGATCCCGGGGACAGAGGGTTGGAAATGGGCTCAGGGAGGCGAAACAACCCCCGCTCGGTTTCCCGCAATCCCCTCCGGGAGACGGACCCCCACCCCGCCCCTCACCTGGCCCTGCAGCTCCTTCTCGAGCTGCCGGTAGTCGTTGTTCCAGACTAGGAGGTGCAGAGGGTAGTGGTTGCCGGCGTCGCAGGCCGAGGACATGGCGAGGAGGCCGTAACCGGGCCCTCGCCGCCCGCCCGCCCCAAGTCTCGGCCCCGGCAGGGTCTCAGACGCCCGCCCGCCTGCCCTGCGGCCGGTGAGTGAGCGAGCGAAGGGCGCGTTACACGGCCGGCAGGCTGAGCGGGTCGTGTGCGGGGCGCGCGGGAGGTTCGGGGTCGCCGGCCGGCTCTGGGACCCGCTCGGCCGCGCCCACCCCGCGCCCCGCGGCGTTCCCGCCCGCGCTGACAGCTCACCGACCGACTTCTGCGGACCGAACTGCCCCAAACAGGGAAGTGTGGAGAGCGAACCACCGCATGCCGCGGCGGGGGGAGGCGACCTCGGGCACCGGGTTCGGGGCCCGCGCCATTGCACCCACCTCCAGCTCACACCAGGAAACTCAGTGCAGCCCACAGAGCAGAGCTGCGGTTAATTCTCTTAGCTAAAGATCTCCACGAGGAAAGTTCTGTCTATCTATCCCAAGCTTCTTTCCCCTGTTCCAGTGGCCGCATGTGGTTCAGTCCACAACTGGGCCTCTTCCATTTGCTCTGCAGCCAGGGGGTGACAACTGAGGCCCGGACCAAACCATTCCAGCTGCTGACACCCTTGAATCCTTTTTTGGAGCAGGGCAGATGCTTCCACGATGGCTCAGAAGCCATTTTGGAAGTGGGCAACACCAGACCATTTTTGAAGGAGGAACTCTAAACCCTGGCGAAGTGGCTTCAAATATAGTATTTGCATAGAAGGGGATATTTCTAGTTCATGATTTCTCAACCTCGGCACATTTTGAACTGGGCAGTTTTTGTGTGGGGGTTGTCCGGTCCTTAGCAGGATGCCGAGCAATTTCCCTGGTCTTTCTCCCCACTCAATGCCAGGAGCACCCCCCAAAACATCTCTCTCCAGATATTGTCAAATGTCCCCTCGGGGAGAAAAATCGTCCTCAGTTGAGAACCGCTGTTCTATTTGAACTCCAAACCAGGTTATGAGTCAATGTACCTATGGTGGTGATTTAGTCCATGTATAAATGTCATTTTTAAGTTAGCTTTTTGGATTTGAGGTTATGGCTGAAAAGACTGATAAATAATACCCATAATTGACCACAGTCTGCGAATATGAAGTTTATCCTTTGAGTTTCAGGCACTATGCCTCCTTGACTCAATAGAACCAAATCAACTTACAGCTAGCTACTCGTGGGCTTGAACTTTCTGCTGCTGCTTCAGCTCAGCTGTCTACAACTAGACCACTTGGCCGGGTGAAGCTATTTACTGCATTGTGAAAACATTCCCTCTGTCTTCTGAGTGTATGCACATCCAGCTCTTCAGATGCCTGCAACAACAGCTGTTCAAGAATCCCAGCCTAATCCGTTCTCCACAGATGTGGAGCCCAGAAGATTTGTGAGTTGTTAAACCAAAACAGGATGCAGGATCCCCAGTATGGCACCCGGAGACTCTAACTATGGAATGCATGGGAATTCTGTGATTATTCCTACATCACACATTTATCACACTGGAGAGATGGACTCTACCAGCACTTTTCATTCTTTCAGACTTTTGCAACTTAGTCTTCTTCTTCTTTATCATCTCATTATTGAACATCTCCCTATCTCATTAATCAGAAAACCCCACAATGACAGGAACCATATCTGTTTTGCTTGCCAGAGTACCTAAACCAAAATTGTACCTGGCTCACAACAGGCATCCAATATTTGCTGAAAGGAGATCATAGTTGTATTTATATGTAAGACTGACAATAAGTAATCATTGGCATTAGGGTCACATCTCTTTTCTCCTTCACACTGATTCACTTCATTTCATTGTGTTTATCTCATACCATTCTGTAAATTATCCCAGGTTAGCTATTATTATTCTCAAATTCCTAGCATATGAAGAAAAACAATAATTAGAAAATAATAGCAATATCCATAATTATGGGAGCTACTATTTACTGAGGAATTACTATAGAGCAGGTATATCACATTTTTTTCATAATTTATTCTACCTGTCCTTAGCCAGAATGAATGTTTAACTTTGCTGGTCACATACAAGTTTTGTTGCATATTCTTCTTCCTCTTTTTCTTTCTTTCCCTCTCTCCTTCATTTTTATCTCCCAACCCTTTAAAAATGTAAAAATCAGTGCCGGGCGCAGTGGCTCACGCCTATGCCTCCTTGACTCAATCCCAGCACTTTGGGAGGCCGAGGCGGGTGGATCCCGAGGTCAAGAGATCAAGACCATCCTGCTCAACATGGTGAAACTCCATCTCTACTAAAAATACAAAAAATTAGCTGGGCACGGCGGTGCGTGCCTGTAATCCCAGCTACTCAGGAGGCTGAGGCAGAAGTGCCTGAACCCAGGAGGTGGAGGTTGTGGTAAGCCAAGATCGCGCCATTGCACTCCAGCCTGGGTAACAAGAGCAAAACTCCGTCTCAAAATAAATAAATAAATAAATAAAATAAAAAATAAAAATGTAAAAATCATTTTTAAATAGCAAGCCATACAAAAACAAGTCGTGGACTAGAAGTAAACAACACATTATCTTCATTTTGAAGATGAGGTTAAAACTAAAGCCCAAAGAAGGACTCATCTAACATACTCTTTTTTGTTATTGTTTTGGGTTTTTTTTTTTTTTTTTTTGGTTATTGTTGTTGTTGCTGTTTTTGAGACAGTCTCGCTCTGTCGCCCAGGCTGGAATGCAGTGATGTAATCTCTGCTCACTGCAACCTTGGCCTCCCGGTCTCAAGGAATTCTCATGCCTCAGCCTCTGGAGTAGCTGGGATTACAGGCATGCGCCACCACATCCGGCTAATTTTTGTATTTCTGTATTTTCACCATGTTGCCCAGGCTGGTCTCAAACTCCTGGCCTCAAGCGATCTGCCTGCCTCAGCCTTCCAAACTGCTAAGATTACAGGAGTGAGCCACAGCGCCAACGCTGGAATCATATAATATATTAGTTTACTTTACCTACCCCAGTAAAATACAAGCTTCATAAGGACTGGAAATTCAGTCTTTGCTCACTGCTGTTTCTCTAGTGGCTGGGACAATGTATAAAACATGGTTAAGTGCTTGATAAATATTTGTTGAATAAAGGAATGAATGAATGAACTTGACCGCTGATTGCCTCAGGAAGGTTGTGGCTCCAGGGTTCTCCTCACAAGATATTGCTGCTTCCGCTGGTATTAATCAGCCGGGACGAGGGGAATCGCTGCCAGAGAAGGAGACCCAAATTCAATATTTAAAGGTCGGACAGATGATGCTAGGACAGTCTTCTGCCCTCACTCAAGATGGCGACAAGGCAGTGTGCCCTTTCCGGTCACATGACCTGACAGTCTCAGAAGGGCACCTCCCCGCGCGTGCGTGCTGTGCCAAGGCTTCAAGGCGCTGAGGGGAGAGGCGCCCCCGCCAGCTGCGCCGCCGCCTCCGCCGCCGGGACCCGTTAGAGCGGAAGCGCCGTAGCCGCCGCCGCCTTTGCTGTCCCGGGGCCTCTACTTCCCGGCAGGTGGGAAGCGCGAGCCATGTCGAAACGGCTCCGGAGCAGCGAGGTGTGCGCTGACTGCAGCGGGCCGGGTGAGTCGCACCGGCCGGGCCCGCTCCCCTCTGCTTTCCTGGCCGGGACCCCTACCCCGGAGCCGCCCCCTCAGGTCAGGCGGCATCCCGCCGCCAGGCGTCCGCCGCCGGCGGCTGGGGTCGCAACGAAGGGGTCCCGGGGCGGCCTTGGGGCGGGACCCGTCCCGGGCCTGTCAGAGCCTGGCAGGCAGTGGGCCACCGCCCTCCCGGTCCCTCGCGGCCCTCCTTTCCTTCTGGTTCCCTCCGGTTCCCTTGTCCCATGCCAACTGGGGAGGTGACGGGGGCCAGAGCTGCTCCCCCAACAGGAAGGGGCTTGGGCAATCCACAGGAAAGCCAATTACAGAAGTAAAATGCGAGAGTCCTCCCGGCTGCAGCCTCTAGAGCTGCAGGTGTCACCTCGCACACTAGACCGTCTTTTCTCCTGGGGGCCCTGCCTGGGGAGGGTGACCCTCCCTTAGACTCGCCAGAGAGTCCGCATAGATGACTTCCCCGCTCCTGACATCCTGACAGCTACCCCTCTTGGGAGAATCTGCAGGAGATCCAGGTCGTGCAAACACAACCAGCGCTTAGGAGGCAGTGCTTGCCTCAAGTTTGAGGATCTCAACGGCCTGGGTTCAAACTAGATTTTGCTTCTGGGTGACCTTGGGCTGGTGACTTCACTTGGTTACTTGGCTTGATTTCCTCATTTTTTCGATGAGGATAATCGGGAGTGTCACGCTCAGTGGTGAGGAAGAGTCAGTGAATACCCGTAGAATCACATCATCTAAGGCTTTTCTTTTTTGTACTATGTTGTTTACAGTAGAACCCTTGCAGTCCCTTAAAACTGGAATTGACTGTCTAAATTATACGTTAATTACAACTGAAACAAACGCAAAATCACCAGCAATATAGGGGCATTGCAACGCTAAAACCATTCCTTCATAATGATGCATAACGGTTTATACATAATATTCACATGTAGAGATCAAATGTGTCTTAGCAATTGCAACTGAATTGACAGGTCTCTGAATAGATTATTACATGCTGTTTTTGGTGCGTGGATGTACTGGCTTTGAGTAATTTGAAGGTAGCATGGCTTTCTTGGCACAATAGTGTCCAATAAACAATCTTAATTAAATCATTGAACACCACTGGCTTTGCAACTGTTCTGATCTTCAGCTTGTCATTTGGAAGTGGAGACTGATTTTGAATAGAACTGTGATAACTCAAACGTTGTGTGGTTATTTTATGGCCCGTGAAGTGCAGGTGCTGTTACCAGTTCCTTTGAAGATAGGGAGGGGGTGTAGAGGAGTTCAAAAAGAAGTGTTTTCTAAACCAAGTTAGTGTGAGTTATACAAACTCCATCGTTTTTTTCTAAAAATGTTATTTGTTCCACTTCCTTATTTTCTTGCTTATTTTCAGTTGAACTTTGATGTGTTTGATTCACATGTGTCTAGCTTGTAACTTCCTCTTGGAATGCATATTTTTTTGCTTCTTGATGGGGGTATGGGAAAAAGCAAAGTTGTTTCTCCGTTGCCACCCTAAATATACTTTTGCAGCATTTTGTGCATTTCAGAATATTTTTCTTCCATTGTATCGCTTTCGTTGTTGTCTCATATGCCTGATCTGCAGAGACTTGAGTCACTTCCTTCCTGTTTTGAATATAATTAGGCTACCTTGAAATGATCTGTGAAATTGAGCAGCTAGGAATTTGTACTGCCTTTTCTGCAAAGCCCTACTGAGAATTACGTAGAGGGTTAGGGACTTCTCCGAGATTCCGATGAATGCTAAGGCCTTCTCCCCTAAAATGCATGTGAACTTTCTCTTTCACACAGAATTTATGTAAGATTTGTCTGGGGGAGTCACAAACATTTTTGAAGTGCATTTGTGGTGTCCCTGGAGCCCTGGCATAAAGCCTCCAGATGAACTTAGAGGGTTTTACCCAATCTTATCATACAAACTTAATTTTATTTTACTATGTTAACATTCTAATTTTCTTTCCATGGGATTCTGATCCAGGATGCTAAAGTGGGTAGTCGAATACCTGTCTTAATTAATATGTGTTAAATTCTTGCTGTCTTGTTTAATTTCTTCAGGAATACTCCAAATCCTCTGAATGGTAAGTGAAAACCAAAGCTATGCCTTCAAAACAGTTTTTTTTTTTTTGGAGTCAGAGTTTTGCTCTTGTCCAGGCTGGAGTGCAATGGTGCATTTTCCGCTCACTGCAACATCTGCCTTTCAGGTTCAAGTGACTGTCCTGCCTCAGCATCCTGAGTAGCTGTGATTACAGGTGTGCACCACCACACCCCGCTAATATTTGTATTTTTAGTAGAGAACAGAGTTTCACCATGTTGGCCAGGCTGGTCTCAAACTCCTGACCTCTTGATCCTCCAACCTTGGCCTTCCAAAGTGCTGGGATTACAGGTGTGAGCCACCGCGCCTGGCCAGTTATGTGTTTTTATTGAGCTCTTTCATCTGGATATTTCCAATCTCTGTTTTTTAGGATGATATAGTAATAGTGACAGAGTTTTACTTCATTGAATTATCTTGATTCTGTTTTATGGCAAACGTTTAACCATGATCACATCTTCTTAAGTATTCTACTTGTTTTATTTTTTTTATTGAATCTAGTTCATTTCAAAGGCATCACACTCTGAGTTCAATTACCTGAAAACTCCATGGAGATTTTCAGTACAGTGGTATAGTGGTCACACGAAATGTTCAATGTTTTAAGTATTTCCCATCAAAAACTTTTTCCAGTGATCATGAATTTCATGGACTCTAGAAAATATCTGAATACTGAGAAAATAATTTAGAAAAGATAAAACAGCTAACATTACTGAGTACTTTACTATGTGTGAAGTACTTCATTTACTCTCTATATCCTTACTATCCCGAGATATGTTATTCTCATTTGATCCATGGTGAGAACACTCAAAGAAGTAACTTGTCTGAGATCATTGTGTGAGAAGTGGCAGAGCTGGGGTTCAAACCTTGAACTGCTTGTCTCTGGAGCCAACCCTCTTAAGCACCACACTCACTGACTCCCAGGATTCATCTTTGATTGAAAGCATATACCTTTTCATTATATGGTTTGAAAGGGTTTGAATAAACTCCTAAAAAATGGTAAAGATGGTATACATGCATTTTAGAGATTTTTGTGGACATCGAAGAATTATAAAATGTAACCCTTAGACCAGGCCACTTAAGTGGCACCTATTGTCTCCCCATTGTGAGCCTGATGAAATGTAGGTCTTTCTTTATTTGAGGTTTCTAAGTATTCAGTTTATTTACACAGATCCATCCTGCTTGCCAAGTATGAAATTACCCCTTGTTTCAAGAGACATCTAATGAAGCTCAATGCTTTTAAAGGGAAAAAGTGTTATACATACACCAAAAATATTACTCATTTCTATTTTACATCTTTGCCTCTGTAAAGCCGGTATTGTTGCAGCTTCTTTTTTTTTCAAATCGGTTGCAGAATTGGACTTGGTAGTTTATGTAAAACAATTAATTGGCCGGGCGTGGTGGCTCTCGCCTATAATCCCAGCACTTTGGGAGGCTGAGGCAGCAGATCACCTGAGGTCAGAAGTTTGAGACCAGCCTGGCCAACATGGTGAAACCCTGTCTCTACTAAAAATAACAACATTTAGCTGGGCTGGTGGCACACGCATGTAATTCCAGCTACTCAGGAGGCTGAGGCAGGATAATCTCTTGAACCCGGGAGGTAGAGGTTACAGTGAGCTGAGATTGTGCCACTGCACTCCAGCCTAGGGACAGAGCGAGACTCTGTCTCAAAAACAAAACAAAACAGCACACAAAAAGCAATTAATGGATATCATAGAAAGAACATTTCCTAGTGGAAGAAGCCAGGTTTCCCTGTCCTCAGAACTGTAGCAGCTGAGTGATTTTAGGATTCTGTAACTTGCAGCATTCTGCTAAGCATGTTGGCATGTTGATTCATATCAGTGAATTAGGACAGCAGTCTTTACACCGTTTACTGCAGAAAATACTATCCGCATAATTCACTGTCAAAATTATATTATCTTGGCCAGGCGCAGTGGCTCACACCTATAATCCCAGCACTTTGGTAGGCCAAAGTGGACGGATCACCAGGGGTCAGGAGTTCGAGACCAATCTGGCCAACATGATGAATCCCCATCTCTGCTAAAAATACAAAAATTAGCTGAGCTTGGTGGTGCACACCTGTAATGCTAGCTACTGGGGAGGCTGAGGCAGGAGAATCACTTGAACCTGGAAGGCAGAAGTTGTAGTGAGCCAAGATTGTGCCACTATACTCCAGCCTGGGTTACAGAATGAGATTCAGTCTCAAAAAAAGAAAAATTGTATTATCTTGGTGTTTATGGAGATGGATCCAAAATCATTCATCTGTACCCTCTCAATTTGCTTTTGTTAGTTTGAATGAAAGAGCATGCATCTGAAATCGTAGATCCACATTAGGGTTACAAATTGTGGCCGGGAACCAGAAAGAAGATAACTGCTTACCCTCAGCTCCCACTCATGTTTTTAGTCTCAATTAACATTGTACCTAATCAGGCAAGGCAGGTCGTATCATCCGACAAGATCACCAGCTCAATGCATTGATGAGCATAGTGAAACAAAAATGGCTCCTTTTTCTGACAAACCACACCTCAGTCGTCTTTCACCATCTGGCGGTATAGCAACCTGCTGGTATCCCTGCCACTGAGATTTCACTCTCTTTTCAGATCCTTCCTGGGCATCAGTAAATAGGGGAACATTTATATGTGACGAGTGCTGCAGTGTCCATCGGAGTCTAGGGCGCCATATCTCCCAAGTGAGACATCTGAAACACACACCATGGCCTCCAACACTGCTTCAGGTAAAGGATAAGAAGAATTCTCCTGACGGTTGGTAGGGCTCATCTTGCTAACAACTAAAATTTCTTCTGGTATACTTCTTCCATAAGACAAAACTGTTTCATAATTGAATAGAGACGCTATGCCCATTAATGCTATTTGTATATATTATCTGTATTGAATTCATCATTTAAGACTTTTCTTCCTACCTGACATAAATCTTGTCCAGACACTTCAATTATAGGTAGATAGATGGATAGTTGTTAAAATACCTTGGGAATGTTGCGCTGTTGACTTTCTAGACTGTCACCAGAATTTTTTTTTAGGCAGTGTCTCACTCTGTCGTCCAGGCCGGAGTGCAGTGGTGCAATCTCAGCTCACTGCAACCTCCGCCTCCTGGGTACAAGCAATTCTCCTGCCTCAGGCTCTTAAGTACCTGGGACTACAGGTGTGCACCACCATGCCCAGCTGATTTTTTGTATTTTTAGTAGAGACGGGGTTTCACCATGTTGGTCAGGCTGGTCTGGAACTTTTGAACTCAAGTGATCTGCCCACCTCAGCCTCTCAAAGTGCTGGGATGACAGGCAAGAGCCACCATGCACAGCCAAGAAATTGTTTTTAAGTAGTCCATCTTTTCTGTGCATGATAATTAATGTTTCTGAAAACTACTGCCTAAGAAACTTTTCTTTAATGTACTTATTCCTGAATACCTGCTAATATTTTTTAAATGTGCTTTTCTGCTTTGTTAACAGCATGGGCTGGGATTCCTCAGAAATTTCTGAAACATTTTAAGTTTTCTTAAAGCTCTTGTTACTAGTGAGAGAGACCAAATTAAATTAACATGTTTTGATTGGAGGTCAAATACCCTGTTAAATGGGCTGCTTTATTTGGAGTCCAATGTCATGTCACCTTTATTTCTATTTTGGGGTATACATTCTTCAAGTTTCTCTTGGAACTCAAGGTTAAGTGTGTGTTTTGCCTTCATTTATCTTGATTACAACATTGCACCAAATCTATGACAGCTGTACATATCCCTTAAACTTGCCTGTGTGACCCAAGGAGCCAAAATAAGTGAGTTTGGATCTCCAATGTGAAAGTAACTACACTGCTGTAAAAAAACAGACGGGGCTGTTTTAGGAGTCATGCCTTGAAATGAAATTGGGAGATTTGCTTTATTACTAACTTTTGCCTAGAAGTTTCTAAGAGCTCAGGCTCACGTGAAAGGGGCGATTACTGCTTTCTGATCTGTGTTTACAAAGCCAGATTGTATTACTGAATCTCAGTATAAGTCCAGAGATGAGTAGTTTAGAATACCAGAGTTGACCCTAAAGCAACAATTTCCCAAGTGTGGAAGCACCAGTAGTATGCAAGACAGATGTAGGTAATACATGTTTTTTTAATAGTTGCCTTGTTTTACTATGTGTAGGCAAACTATAACTAGCACATCAAACCGTCGTTTTTAAAAGTAAGTGGCTTTAAAGATATTAAGTGAATAGTACAGACAGTACATGGGTTGTTAAGAATCTTGACAATAGTGTTTAATTGGGTTTGGGAAACCCTGCTCTAAGGTGTCAAAGTACTTTCCTTTCATACTGTATAAGAACAATTCAGAAATACTTTTCTTTTTCCAGACATACTTCTTTAGGTATTTAACTATCCTGCTGGTCAAAGCTGAATCCTGAGTCCAGATTGACCATCTTTCTCCTTCTCAAATCAGAAAACTGATATGAATGATATTCCTGACATAGTGTTTATAATAGGGCTTTGCTTACCCTCTTCAGTCACTGATCCCCATTGAATATTTGCAGAAAGAAATTAAAGTCTTATATCATCCTGCTTGATTTTAGATGGTTGAGACCTTGTATAATAATGGTGCTAACTCTATATGGGAGCATTCTTTGCTGGACCCTGCATCTATTATGAGTGGAAGACGTAAAGCTAATCCACAGGATAAAGTACAGTGAGTGGAATGTTTATAAATACTTTTATTTCTTCGTAACAAATGGGGCCCACTGAAAGGAGTGCAGCTATTTTTGGTCAGCCTCTACAAGGTCAGCACAGGAGGGGGTTACCCCAGTTGTGCATCAGGCTCTTTGCTATTAGAAATGCAGAATGGGGCGGGGAAGGACCATCTGTTTAGCATGGCTACCCAGCAGGAGTAAGTGGCTTCCTCAATTGGAAACCATGGCTTGGAGGCTGTAAATGTAATCATATTTAAACTTATGCTCAAATCTGAGGCAATCACACCAGAAATCTAGGTCTAGGCACCTGTCCGCCTGTTGCCTCACCTATAAGATGGGACTAAAATGCTGCCTTTCTCCCAAAGTTGCTCGGTTAGTTAGACAATTACATGGAGAAGAGAGCCACTATAAAAAGCAGGTAGGTACTCTGCAGTCCTAGCCATTATAAGGAGTGATGCATGTTTTCAGACCTCAGGTCTTAAACCTTGCTGAAACTTACTTGAACATTGTTCATTTTATTACCAGTGAGGGATATGGGTCACTTCCTCTTCCTTTTACAGTACAAAGAATGGGGATTGTCGTATCTGAACTAGTGAACTGTTTTCTTTTTTGTTTTTGAACCAGTCCCAATAAAGCAGAATTCATCAGAGCCAAGTATCAGATGTTAGCGTTTGTCCATCGCTTGCCCTGCCGGGATGACGATAGTGTAACTGCCAAAGATCTTAGCAAGGTGGGTTGCACCTTTCAAAATCTCTAAAAGAGCTGGCTGAGGCAGCATACTGTTTTATTTGTGGGGTGGGGGGGTGGAGTTTGGTTGTGGTTTTTTTGTTGTTTTTGTTTTGAGACAGGTCTTGCTCTCTTGCCCATGCTGGAGTGCAGTGGTACGATCGCCGTTCACTGCAGCCTCGACCACCCGGGCTCAAGTAGTCCTCCCACCTCAGCATCCCGAGTAGCTAGAACTACAGGCACATTACCACACCCAGCTAATATTTTTTATTTTTCGTAGAAACAGGTTCTTGCTATGTTGCCCAGGCTGAAAAAGTTTTTAAATAAAGAAAGGAAAACAAAATTTCTGCACATTAAGTAATTAATAGCTTTTTTTCAATTGGTTTATCTTTAATCTGAATTCAAATGGCAGCCATTCATGTCGTGGAGCTAAATGGCAAAGAGGAAAAATAAGTGTCTGGAAAGCTATTTGTGTTTTTCCAATATGGCTTTTAAATTATATTTTGATAAGTTTTTTTGTTTGATTAACTTTGAAATAGGAACCATCTCAGAGTTGTTTCTAGAAGAGACTAGAAAGTTTATAGGACAATTGTTTCTTTCTAATAAGGACTAGAAAAAGTACTCAAGGAAGAGGGCTTACTTCTTCAGGTTTCCAGGTTGAACGGTGAGTATGATCTTCAGAAAGCAATGTATGACTCAAAGCTGTAGTATACAGAATGGTTTATCATACTTAGGAAACAAGTGGGGTGGTTGTCTTTCTGTGGGCCTTTGCATGTTTTTAAGAGATGCTGTAAGAAATGTGCATATTTATTTTCAAAGCATTGCCTTGGATAAATGCTTACTCACACAGAACATGAGGATTTACTCTTCAGATTTTCTTAATTACTTTTTGGCCAGGTGCAGTGGCTCACCCCTGTAATCCCAGCACTTCGGGAGGCTGAGGCAGGCAGATCACTTGAGCTCAGGAGTTCAAGACCAGCCCGGGCAACATGGTGAAACCCCGTCTCTACAAAAAATACAAATATTAGCCTGGCATGGTGACACGTGCCTGTAGCTACCTGGGAGGCTGGGGTGGGAGGATGGCTTGAGCCCAGGAGGCAGAGGTTGCAGTGAGCTGAGATTACAACACTGCACTCCAGCCTGCGCAATAGAGCAAGACCTTGTCTCAAAAAATAAAAAGAAAACTTTTTCTGCATCTATTGAGATGATCATGTGGTTTTTGCTTTTGCTTGTGTTTATGTGGTAAATCACATTTATTGATTTGTATATGTTGAGCCAGGCTTGAATCTCAGCAAAAAAAAAGCCTACTTAATCATGGTGGATTAACTTTTGATGTGCTGCTAGATTCTATTTGCTAATATTTTGTGGAGCGTTTTAAAAAAAAATTTGTGTTCATCATGGATTTTGGTGTGAAGTTTTCCTTTTCCTGTGTGTCTGCCAGATTTTGGTATCAGGCTGATGCTGGCTTCACAGAATGAGTTAGGGAGGAGCCCCTCCTGTTTGATTGTTTGAAATAATTTCAGTAGGATGTTAGTTCTTCTTTGGTAGAATTCGGCTGTGAATCTCTTGAACTGGGGAGATGGAGGTTGCAATGAGCCACACCATGGCACTCCAGCCTGAAAGACAGAGTGAGACTTTGTATCAAGAAAAAAAAATTTTTTTAAATTACTTTTTTAGGGGTTTGTTTTGCTTTGTTTTATTTGAGACAGGGTCTCACTCTGTTGCCCAGGCTGGAGTATAGTGACGCAATCATGGCTGACTGCAGCCTCAACCTCTCCAGGCTCAAATGATTCTTTTATCTGAGCCTCTCAAGTGGCTGGGATCACAGGCATGTGTCACCAAGCCTGGCTAATTTTTGTATCTTTTGTACAGATGGGGTTTTACCATGTTGTCCAGACTGATCTCAAATTCTTGGTCTCAAGCGATGATGCCTGCCTTGGCATCCCAAAGTGCTGGCATTACAGACATCAGCCACTGCATCTGGCCTTTTTTTTTTTTCTGTTTTAATCCCCAGCAGAATCTGGCTAAAGAATTTAGAATTTGGCATTTTGTGTAAAAATGCATATACTTATTACTTCCATTGATTAATGAGACTTGGTATATGTTAGGTTTTTTTTCTTACCAAAGTTTTAAGAATTACTCAGGCACAGTGGCACATGCCTATAGTACTAGCTACTTGGGAGGCTGAGGTGGGAGGGTTGCTTGACCCCAAGAGTTCAGTCCTGCCTGGGCAACATAATGAGACCCTGTGTTTAAAAAACAAACAAAAACTATTTTAAAAATTAAACAAAACTTAGAAATAGATGTTAGAGTAGATTTCTTCATTCCTGTGATAAGGGTTACTTCATCTTGGACAATTCTAGGTTAGATTTGAAGGAAGGTGGCTCATTTTCTGAATGTATAAGAGCTTTTCTGCAGTAATACAGAATTCAGTATATCACAGGCCTTTTCCCACCCTGAAAGATTTTATTAAAGTATATTACATAGGTCAAGAATAATGTGGTAGAAAGGGTATGGTATAAGGCAGGATCCTATAGCTTACACAGTGTAAAATTTGAAGTCCTAAAGCCCTAATTACAGGTAACTACTAATAATAATAGCTGTTACTATTATAGCATTTGTATTCTTTGAGCTCTTTATTATATCACTCTAATTCCTTATAACCCGTGAATAGGGCTGGGCCTAGTAGCTCATGCCTGTAATCCCAACACTTTGGGAGGCCAAGGTGGGAGGATTACTTCAGCTCGTAAGTTCGAGACCAGCTTGGGCAGCATAGTGAGACCTATCTGTATTGAAAAGTAAAAAATTAGCAGGACATGGTGACCGGCGTCTGTAGTTCTAGCTGTTCAGGAGGCTTAGGTGGGAGAATTGCTTGAGCCCATGATACTGAGGCTGTAGTAAGCCATGATTGTTCCACTACATTCCAGCCTGGATGACAGAGCAAGCAAGACCCTTTCTTTTTAAAAGAAGAAAAATGCCACCTTTTATAAAAAAATTTTTTTTGAAACAGGGTCTCTCTCTGTCACCCAGGCTAGAGTACAGTGGCATGATCATAGCTCATTGCAGCCTCCACTTCCCAGATCAGGTCATCGTCCCACCTCAGCCTCCCTAGTAGCTGGGACTGCAGGCGCATGCCACCACACCCAACTAATTTTTCTATTTTTTGTAGAGCCAGGGTCTTGCTGTGCTGCCCAGGCTCAAACCCCTGGCTCAAATGTTCCTCCCACCTTGACCCCATAGTGCTAGGATTACAGACATGAGCACTGCGTCCTGCCATTGTTGACATTTTTTAGATGAGGAAAGTGAGGTTCAGATTATTTAAAGAACTTTCTCAAGGTCACACGGCTTGAAGTAGGTATAGTTTGAAATTAAGGTCTATCAGACGTCAGAGCCACACACACAGTCACCTCTTCACACAGTCCTGCCTCTCACTCAGGTTCTGGTTTTGCCACTTCTTAGACAAGTCAGGCATTTGGGCAGGTCAGGCTTCACAGCCCTAGTTTCCTTATCAGTAAAGTGGCCTGACCCCACCGTAGAGCCCAGGGATGGTTATGACTGGCAGAGGAGAGACTGGTCCATGCACTTTACTGAGACAAATAAAGATTATGCGTTACTGATGTAACGTATATTAAGATGGTCTGTCAGCTGCCCTAGGACATCATTCTTTATGTCTCTAACCACGATTTCTTTTTCTGTTTGTGCGTTTTTCAGCAACTCCATTCAAGCGTGAGAACAGGGAATCTTGAAACCTGTTTGAGACTGTTATCTTTAGGAGCACAAGCCAACTTCTTTCATCCTGTAAGAAATCATGAATTGCTTCAGATGTTGAAACTAAGTGAGTTGTGTTTGTGTAGCCTTTAGTTTATTTAATATGCTCTTTTTTCTACTTTTTATTTATGATTCTTAGGAAAAAGGAAATACCCCACTTCATGTTGCCTCCAAAGCAGGGCAGATTTTACAGGCTGAATTATTGGCAGTATATGGAGCAGACCCAGGCACACAGGATTCTAGTGGGAAAACTCCTGTTGATTATGCAAGGTAAGAGACCTAGATTCTTACTACTTCTCTCTGGGATTTTTTGGTTGGGTATGATTCCTTGTTGGGTAGCTAAATTGTGTGTGTTAGCATTTAACCCCTTTAAAGATTTCCGTCATTTTATTTATTTAATTTTACTTATTTTTTGAGACAGAGGTTTGCTCTTGTCACCCAGGCTAGAGTGCAATGGCATGATCTCAGCTCACTGCAACCTCTGCCTCGTGAGTTCAAGCGATTCTCCTGCCTCAGCCTCTGGAGTAGTTTGGATTACAGGTGCCCCCCCACCATACCCGGCTAATTTTTTATATTTTTAGTAGGGATAGGGTTTCACCGTGTTGGTCAGGCTGGTCTTGAACTGCTGACCTCAGGTGATCCTCCCACCTTAGCTTCCCAAAGTGCTGGGATTACAGGTGTGAGCCACTGTGCCCAGCCTACGTTATTTTATTTTACAGATGAATACATTTCAAATGCATATAAACTCAGCTTGACAAAGTTGAGGCAGGCTAGAATCATGAACCAGCGTACTAAACTTCCAGTCTGTCACTTGATCCTTTATGATACAGTGGTATTTGAGCTGTAGTTAGATTCCAAATCAACTATCAAGAATTACAGAATGTACTCTTCAGTTTTTTTTTTTTTTTGAGACAGAGTTTTGCTTTTGTTGCTCAGGCTGGAGTGCAATGGCGCAGTCTCAGCTCACTGCAACCTCCGCTTCCTGGGTTCAAGCGATTCTCCTGCCTCAGCATCCTGAGTAGTTGGGACTACAGACATGTGCCACCATGCCGAGCTAATTTTGTATTTTTAGTAGAGATGGGGTTTCTCCATGTTGATCAGGCTGGTCTCAAACTCCCAACCTCAGGTGATCTGCCCTCCTTGGCCTCTTGGTGCTGGGATTACAGGGGTGGGCCGCTGCTCCCAGCCACTCTTCAATTTTTTAATACTCTTAGTTTTTGCTTGAACTTAAAAGCAAATCTATAAATAGCTATGTGATTAAACAGGTATAGTAAAATGTTAATTGTAAGGTTGGGGTAGTAGACATCTAAGTGCTCACTCTAGGCCAGGCGCAGTGGCTCACGCCTGTAATCCCAGCACTTTGAGTTTCCAAGGTGGATGGGTTACTTGAAACCAGAAGTCCGAGACCAGCCTGGCCAACATGGTGAAACCCTGTCTCTACTAAAAATACAAAAAAAACTGGCCAGACATAGTGGCAGGTGCCTGTATTTCTGCTACTTGGGAGGCTAAGGCGGGAGAATCACTTCAACCTGGGAGGCAGAGGTTGCGATAAGCCAAGATCATGCCACTGAGTTCCACTCCAGCCTGATAACAGAGCAAGACTCTGTCTCCAATAAAAAAAAAAGTGCTCACTGTAAAATTCTTTCAGTTTTTCTTTTTTTTTTTTTTGACTGTTACAAAAGTTTATTTAACAAAAAGTCTAATAGGAAAATGTACATGACCTAATTTTTACATCACAGTAAAACAGGCCCTATGGAGAGAGGACGTGGGTTTCTCCGCTGAACAGCCATTATACTCGTTCCAAGGCTTCTAACATGATGATACTATTTCCTCATATTACCACCATTCCAATATTGTTCTGTTGTCCACTAGTCGCCATCTCCACACATTCATCTATCACAAGATTCATAAAGGGATCAAATCCCCGCAATATTCCTTGGACATGTCTGCCACCATTTAATTTCAATGATAACTTCTTGTCCATAAATTTTTTCAACTCGGGAGGGTGAGCTTTGCTCATGATGTCTACTCCGCGGGCACACAGAGGCCTTGGAATGGAATGCCCAGTTTTTCTTTATTATCAATAAAGTCTTTGAGAAAAATCTATGTTAGTCTTGAATATAGTTTATTTTATTTATTTATCTATCTATCTATCGATCTATCTATCTATTTATTTATTTATTTTTGAGACAGTTTTGCTCTTGTTGCCCAGGCTGGAATGCAGTGGCACAATCTCAGCTCACCACAACCTCCGCCTCCTTGGTTCAAGCGATTCTCCTGCCTCAGCCTCTGGAGTAGCTGGGATGACAGGCATCTCATCCATCCCACCATGCCCAGCTAATTTTGTATTTTTAGTAGAGATGCGGTTTTTTCCTTGTTGGTCAGGCTGGTCTCAAACTCCTGACCTCAGGTGATCCACCTGCCTTGGCCTCCCAAAGTGCTGGGATTACAGACGTGAGCCACTGAGCCCAGCTTTGAATATTATTTAAATGACCAAAAATCAATCATCTTTCCTTCTTTTTCCAAATTACCTTTATTTACTGTGAAGTACAATACTCTGCTTCACAGAGGATAAAATGGGTGAATAACAAAACTCTGCCATCCCAGAATTTACTCTCTTGGAAAAGATGATGAATAAATGCTGAAAGAGTTCAAGGAGGCAAGACCATATGTGATTGATTGCCAAAATGGATAATTGATCTTAAAAAGCATATATAGGGTTTCTTCATTGTGGTCTAAATCATTTAAGAAATTTCTTCAGCTGGTTGTGAAGAATGGGTTGGATTTGAATGTGTAAAGGAGGTGTTAAAGCATTCCAGGTAAGAGAAAAGGCAGGAGTCAAGATCAGGAGGCAGGGAGGAGCAAAGCATGTTCAGCACAGCAGGAGACCTGACTGGAAAGAACAGAGTGGGTTTGGGAATAAGAGCAGGAGTACAGTATTGCGCAGTGCTTCATTATTTCACATAGCGCTAAAAAGAAGAGCCCAGCCAATTACATTATGGTGCATCATCAATTGTAGGATATTTCCTGATTTCACAGATATTAAAAAATGAAGGAATAAGATATGCCTCTCACAAATCAAAGCTGTGTGGTAGGTTGGAGGGTGTTGTGAGTGCATTGCATGGTGGGAAGTGAAGCTGGCTGAAACTATCAGGTTGGTGCAAAAGTAGTTGCAGTTTTTGCCATTACTTTTAAGGACAAAAACCACAAAATATACTTGATCTTGGAAGAGAGCCCTGGTTAAGTGGTATTTATTATCACTTACCTTAGAATTTTCACAGTTGTACCTTGCATATAATAATCTCATTATAATTTGTTTATATGCCTTGTTACTAAAAGGATTCTAAGTGGCCTAAATATTTATTTCATGGTTACTGAAAGGTAAACTTAATAATTTCTGTTATGCAATTGAAGATAAGTCCTCACTGATTCAGAATTTCCAAGGTAAGGCCTGCACATTGTATATTTCTAGAAATGTGCTAGTTAATTTTTGAGACCCTCTATGCTAAACCATTGATTAATTTTTTTACCTCATTAGATTAAGTCATTCTTTATCCTTCCCTCTCATAAGTCTTTAAGTTTCTTATTAATTATTCCATTTTGTGCCTTAATAAATGAAAGGGGATAGTTCAGATGGTGAAAACAGTTTATAAAAGTGGGATGTAAAGTAGACTTCAGAGATCTACCTCCATAGCAAGGTCGATTATCCTAAAAAGCCTTGTGTGATAAACTACTCAGGTGTCTTAGGAGACGTCTTTGCTTTTTCTTTTTCTCTTTTATTATCACCTATTCAGAGAATAAGGAGATGTCTTTGTATTTCTCCATCTTAAAGCCAGTGAATAGTGAGCAATATAAATGGTACTTTGTTTTCTTTTGATAGGCAAGGAGGGCACCATGAGCTGGCAGAGCGCCTTGTGGAAATACAGTATGAGCTGACGGACAGACTAGCCTTCTATCTCTGTGGCAGGAAACCAGGTGAGTGGACAGAGAATGACCTCTCCATATCTCCAGTCAGGAAGGTTCTAAAAAAACAAGTTGGCTGTGTGCTAATGTTATGGCTTGTGTAAAACAGAAAAAAAGAAAAACAAGTTGGAGCACTGTTTTCTGTGACCTCCTCTGCTTTAACATATCCCTGAGAAAGCTGTGAATATGGGTTTTAATTTGAAAGGATAACTGCGGAATTGTCAGTTACATGTAAGAGATAGAAAGTTGAACAAATATCCTTGGATTTTTCATTTTTAAAACTTTAGCTCTAGAGAAATGACTGATTTCAAGAATCAGATTGAATAATCAAAGCAAAATTGAATGTGTACCATAGTTCCTAAACATGGTGGGACTAGGAATGCAGAAGCAAAGCAATAACTTTTTGAATGGAAAAAAAGTCCAGAAGTGAGCTTTGCCATTAGCCAACTTGGTTATTTGTGATATGGAACAGGATTCAGCAAACCATGTTCTGTAGGCCAAATCTAGCCTGTCACCTGTTTTATTAAATAGAGTTTTGGATCACGCCACTGCACTTCAGCCTGGGTGACAGAGTGAGACTCTGTCTCAAAAAAATAAAAATAGGCCAGGCGTGGTGGCTCATGCATGTAATCCCAGCACTTTGGGAGGCCAAGGTGGGCAGATCATGAGGTCAGGAGATAGAGACCATTCTGGCTAATGTGGTGAAACCCTATCTTTACTAAAAATACAAAAAATCAGCCAGGCATGGTGGCATGCACCTGTAGTCCCAGCTCAGGAGGCTGAGGCAAGAGAATCGCTTGAACTGGGGAGGTGGAGGTTGCAGTGGGCCGAGATCACGCTACTGCACTCCAGCCTGGGTGACAGAGCAAAACTCTGTCTCAAAAAAGTCAAAAAAATAAATACATAAAGTGTTGACCAGGTGCAGTGGTTCATGTCTGTAATCCTAGCACTTTGGGAGGCCGAGGCAGGAGGATCGCTTGAGCCCAGGAGTTCAAGACCAACCTGGGCAAGAGGGGTGAGACTCAATCTCTACAAAAAGTTTTTTAAAAAATTTGGCCGGGCGCAGCGGCTCACGCCTATAATCCCAGCACTTTGGGAGACCGAGGCAGGTGGATCATGAGGTCAAGAGATTGAGACCATCCTGGTCAACAAGGTGAAACCCCGTCTCTACTAAAAATACAAAAATTAGCTGGGCATGGTGGTGCATGCCTGTACTCCCAGCTACTCTGGAGGCTGAGGCAGGAGAATTGCTTGAACTCAGGAGGCAGAGGTTGCGGTGAGCCGAGATCCTGCCATTGCACTCCAGTCTGGGTAACAACAGCGAAACTCTGTCTCAAAAACAAAAATTAGCCAGGCATGGTGGTGTGCACCGGTAGTCCCAGCTACTTGGGAGGCTGAGGCAGAAAGATCACTGAGCCCAGGAATTCAACATGGCAGTGAGCTATGCTTGTGTCACTGGACTCCAGCCTAGGTACAGTGACAAAGCTAGACCCCCATCTCTCTAAAAAATAAATGCATAAAGTTTTATTACAAGAAGGCCATGCCCAGTTATTTGTATCTTGTGTGAGGCTGCTTTCACATAACGATAGCAGAGTTGAATAGGTTTAGCTTTTGCAACAGAGGCCAGATAGCCACAAAGCCTAACGTATTTACTATTTGGCCCTTTATAGAAAATATTGGCCAACTCCTGATACACCACTTTCACATACATGTATGCAATGGTTCTCTATCCTGGTTGTACAATAGAGTTAAGAGCCTCTGGTGTAGTTTAAGTTCTGGGTGAGATGGAGTAAGCACACCCCACCCTGTGTCTCCTGCTAAATAGAACTAACAAACCTGGACCAAATGCTTGGATTGGCTAGCTAAGGACTCTGAAAAGTAAATCCGAGTTGGTGGATTAGGGAAGTCAAAGTGCCATCAAGCTGGTGGTGAGTGTCCTCTTTGTCTTACTTCTGATAGAACTTTAGTGACAGCCTGAAACCTGGAAGTGCATAATGAGTGCAAAAAAGCCTTTTTGTGCTGGGCACAGTGGCTCACTCCCGTAATCCCAGCACTTTGGGAGACCAAGGCAGGCGGATTATGAGGTCAGGAGATCGAGACCATCCTGGCCAACATGGTGAAACCCCATCTCTACCAAAAATACAAAATAATATAGCTGGGCACGGTGGTGGGCACCTGTAATTCCAGCTACTCGGGAGGCTGAGGCAGGAGAATCATTTGAACCCGGGAGGCAGAGGTTGCAGTGAGCCAAGATTGCGACCCTGCATGCCAGCCTGGGTGACAGAACAAGACTCTATCTTAAAAAAAGAAAAAAAAAGCCTTTTTTCTGGTTAAAGAGCAGGAAATGGGACTCCTACAGGACAGAGAGGAAGGGGATTTACCTGGGGTTTTTTCCTCCTCCTCCTTCCTTTTTCTGATCTCTCTAACCCAGCCCATAAGCAAGCCTGTGGCTACAATAGCTGCAGCGGTGGCAGCACAGCTTCCTAAATCTCTGACCAAGGTGGATGAGGGGGGATACTGGTTGCTTTTCTTTTTCTATTTTCTCACCTTCTGCCCAGGAGGCAGAACCTAACCTGGTTGGTTGCCTGCTAAGACAAAATTGTTAACATTCTGCATAAAGAAGACCCAGAGTCTCATAACATAATATTCACAATGTCCAAGATACCATCCATAATGACTTGACATATGATTAATTCTTATGTACTTGTAAGGGAAGGCAATCAACAGATGCCAACCCCAAGATGACACAATGTTGGAGTTATTAGATAAAGATTTTAAAGCAGCTAGTAAGACCATGCTGTAAGAAGTAAGAGCAAACGTTCTTGAAACAAACAGAAATATAGCAAGTCCCATCAGGGAAATCAAAGTTACAGAAGAGAACCAAATAGGAACATTAGAACTGAAAAATGCAATAACTAAAAATTTTAAAACTCACTGGATGGGCTTAATAGAAGAATAGAGATGACAAAGAGAAGTCAATAAATTGAAAATAGATCACAGGCCGGGCGCGGTGGCTGACGCCTGTAATCCCAGCACTTTGGGAGGCCAAGGCGGGTGGATCACGAGGTCAAGAGATCGAGACCATCCTGGTCAACATGGTGAAACCCTGTCTCTACTAAAAATACAAAAAATTAGCTGGGCATGGTGGCACGTGCCTGTAATCCCAGCTACTTAGGAGGCTGAGGCAGGAGAATTGCCTGAACCTAGGAGGTGGAGGTTGTGGTGAGCCGAGATTGCACCATTGCACTCCATCCTGGGTAACGAGCGAAACTCCATCTCAAAAAAAAAAAAAAAAAGAAAATAGCTCACTAGAAATTAATTGGTTTAAGCAACAGAGAAAAAAAGTAGGAAGAAAAAATACTGAACAGAGCCTCAGGGACCTGTTATACTAGATAAAATACTAGAATGTCTGACATTTATGTCATTGGATTCCCAATAAGAGATGAGAAAGAGTGTGGTATGCAGAAAAAGTATTTAAAGAAATATTGCAAAAAAAAAACAACCCCTCTGAATTTGGCCCAGGCCTAGTGGCTCATGCCTGTAATCCCCTAACTTTGGGAGGCCAAGGAGGGTGGATCATTTGAGGTCAGTAGTTCAAGACCAACCTGGCCAACGTGGCGAAACCCCATCTCTACTAAAATTATAAAAATTAGTTGGGCATGGTGGTGCGCACCTATAATTCCAGCTACTCAGACGGCTGAGGCAGGAAAATCACCTAAACCCTGAGAGGTGGAGGTTGCACTGAGCCCAGATGGTACCACTGCACTTAACTTGGGCAACAGAGCAAGACTCTGTCTCAAAAACAAAAAACAGAAACAAATAACCACCAACAACTCTAAATTTAGTGAAAGACATAAACTTACAGATTCAAGAAACTTAGCAAATACCAGAGAGGATAAACTCAAATCCATACTTGAGACACATCAGAACCAAACTACTGAAAAGTAAAGTTGAAGAAAATGTCTTGAAAGCAGCCAGGAAAAAGTGACATATAACATATATAGAAAAACAGTGATTTGGCCGGGTGCGGTGGCTCACGCCTGTAATCCCAGCACTTTGGGAGGCCGAGGTGGGTGGATCACAAGGTCAAGAGATTGAGACCATCCTGGTCAGCATGGTGAAACCCCGTCTCTACTAAAAATACAAAAAATTAGCTGGGCACGGTGGCGCGTGCCTGTAATCCCAGCTACTTAGGAGGCTGAGGCAGGAGAATTGCCTGAACCCAGGAGGCAGAGGTTGCGGTGAGCCGAGATCGTGCCATTGCACTCCAGCCTGGGTAACAAGAGCGAAACTCCGTCTCAAAAAAAAAAAAAAAAAGGAAAAAAAAAAAAGAAAAACAGTGATTTGAATGATTGCAGCTATCTCATCAGAAACCATGGAGATGAGAAGGAAATTAACTAATACTTTTATTATTGTTATTGTTGTTTTGAGACAGGGTCTTACTCCATCTAGTAGGCTGGAATGCAGTGGCATGATCTCAACTAACTGCAACCTCAGCCTTCTGAGCTCAATGATCCTCCCACCTCACTACCCACAGTAGCTGGGTCTACAGATGGGCGCCACTGTGCCCAGATAATTTTTGTATTTTTTATAGAGACAGGGTTTACCTCATTGGCCAGGCTGGTCTTGAATTCCTGAACTCAAGTAATCCGCCCACCTTGGCCTCCCAGTGTGATAAGATTACAGGTGTGAGGCACCATTTCTGACCTACTTTTTTATTATCAGTTTTTTTTCTCATCTTTGTGATGGTAAAAGCAATACTTTTATTTTTTATTTATTTATGAGATGGAGTTTTACTCTTGTTGCCCAGGCTGGACTGCAATGGCACAATCTTGGCTCACCGCAACCTCTGCCTCCTGGGCTCAAGTGATTCTCCTGCCTCAGCCTCCCAAGTAGCTGGAGTAGCTGGGATTACAGGCATGCACCACCAAGCTTGGCTAATTTTGTATTTTTAGTAGAGACGGGGTTTCTCCATGTTGATCAGGCTGGTCTCGAACTCCTGATCTCAGGTG